GCCCTTTTCTTATGAAAAGTGTGGATGGTTATGATTCATTTATAACATTCACAGATGACTATTCTCGTTTTGGCTATATTTATCCAATTAAAGAAAGATCGGAAGCATTGGATAAATTTAAAATATTTAAGGCTGAAGTAGAGAATCAGCACAACTTAAAGATTAAGGTAGTAAGGTCCGACCGTGGGGGAGAGTACTACGGTCGACACACCCCATATGGCCAAGTTCCTAGACCCTTTGCAAGGTTCTTACAGGAAAATGGCATAGTAGCCCTGTATTCTACACCGGGCGAGCCTCAGCAGAATGGAGTAGCTGAAAGACGCAACCGTACCTTAATAGATATGGTGAGAAGCATGATAAGTTATTCTACCATACCGATAAATTTATGGATGGAGGCATTAAAAACCGCCATTCATATTCTTAATCGAGTGCCAAGTAAGTCGGTGCTTAAAACACCATATGAGTTGTGGACAGGAAAGGAACCCTCACCAAACTATATACGTGTGTGGGGTTGTCCTACTGAGGCAAAAGTATTTAACCCAAACATAGGGAAGCTAGACTCCAAGACAGTCAGCTACCATTTCATTGGCTATCCAGAAAAGTCAAAAGGTTATCGCTTCTATTGTCCTAACAGACAAATGAAGTTTATAGAAACAAGACATGCAGTCTTCTTGGAGGATGATATGATCAGGGGGAGCATGGTAGCGCGAGAAATTAGTTTTGAAGAGAAGTGGGTATATGTGCCTACTCCTATGGTTCAGGAACCATTCTTCACGCTACCTATTGTTGCTGTACCAACAGTGCAAGACACTATAGTAACCGCACCTGTTGTTAGTTCTCCTGTGGCAACAATGAATGAACATGAGGAACCTGTCCTTTAGGATCCCCAAGAACCCGTTGTCATATGGAGGGAGAGCAACAACAGCCTCATGTAGAACAAGCGTCATCTAACGAGGCCCCTAGAAGGTCTTACAGAGTTAGGAGATCAGCCATTCCTGATGATTATGAAGTTTATGATTGTGAGGAATTTTGAATGGAGGGTGATCCCACCTCATTTGAAGAAGCCATGAGAAGTGCTCACTCATCCAAGTGGCTTGAAGCCATGGAAGATGAAATAAAATCAATGAAAACCAATGGAGTTTGGAAATTAGAAACAATTCCTAAAGGAGCCAAGACAGTAGGTTGTAAATGGGTTTATAAAACTAAACATGACTCCAAAGGGAATATAGAAAGGTTTAAAGTGCGACTTGTGGTGAAAGGTTTCATGCAAAGTGAAGGCATAGACTACAATGAGATATTTTCTCCAGTCTCATGTAAGGATTCTTTTAGAATCATAATGGCGCTTGTAGCACATTACGACTTAGAATTACATCAGATGGATGTAAAGACGATATTCCTAAACGGGGATTTAGAGGAAAAGGTTTACATGGCACAACCAAAAGGTTTTGTTGTGGAAGGAAAAGAACGCATGGGATGCCGCCTGAAGAAATCTATTTATGGATTAAAGCAAGCTTCAAGACAGTGGTATTTGAAGTTTGATAGTACAATAAGAAAGTTTGGGTTTCAAGAAAATATAGAGGACAATTACGTTTATGCAAAGTTCAAGAATGGGAAATATATTTTCCTAGTCTTGTATGTGGATGACATCTTGCTCGCTAGCAGTGATGTTAATCTGCTACTAGAAATAAAGAAGTTCTTGTCCTAAAAGTTTGATATGAAGGATCTCGGTGAAGCTTCGTTCGTCCTAGGAATAGAGATTCACCGAGATAGAGAAAAGAGGGTTTTAAGACTATCACAAAAGGCATACTTAGAAAAAGTTCTAAAGAAATACAGTATGCAAAATTGTAAGTCATCACCTGCTCTCATAGTCAAGGGCGATAGATATGGGAAACTTCAATGTCCTAGGAACCAATATGAGATCGATCAAATGAAAGCGGTTCCATATAGTTCAGCTATCGGAAGTTTACAATATGCTCAAGTGTGTACTCGCCCTGACTTAGCATTTGTTACCGGGTTGCTTGGCAGATATCAGAGTAATCATGGAATAGAACATTGGAAATTAGTAAAGAAGATCTGATTCCCTGCACATAGAGGGGTATACATATTCTGATTATGCGGGAGATGAAAGAAAGCCCACGTCAGGATACATATTCACTCTCGTAAGAGGAGCTATATCGTGGAAAAGCTCAAAGCAAATCGTCACTACATCGTCCACAATGTATGTCGAGTTTGTAGCATGTTATGAGGCCACAGGGTAGGTGAATTGGCTAAAGAAAATCCTGCCCGGTTTGAAAGTGGTAGACGACATACATAAACCACTTACGTTATACTGCGATAATAATCCGGCAGTATGTTATGCTCACAATAATAAGTTAAGTGGTGCTGCCAAACACATTGACATAAAGTATTATGTTGTGAAAGATAAAGTCTGGGATCATATAATTAGTCTTGAGCATATAAGAATAGAAAAGATGCTCGCGGATCCGCTTACAAAAGGCTTACCACCCAGTGTGTTCAGAGAACACGTAGCCGGCATGGGTTTAAGGGAAAGCCTATGATTCCTGGACAATAAGGGCCTAGTTAAGAATCTGTTTCAAAACAGATAGGTGCATTATAGCTGTTTAATCTAATGGCAAGAGACCATGACGATGAGGCACGCTCTATGCACTGATCTGTGATAGAATGAGAACAAGAGAAAGTAAGTAAGTTAAGTTTAAGTTATAAGTGAGATCAATGGGGAGAATGTTAGTTAATCTCCACCAATAGGCCCAACGACCTATTGAGCCTATGGATCCACACCCTGATCGGGGGCGCCCAACCCTAATATGGTTGGTGGGCCCCCGTCGCACAGCGCCATAAATAGAAGGTGGGAGCCGGGGCGCTCGAGTCACGAGGTTCGCCTGAGCCGCCTAGCACCCCACCTACAGTCCTAAACCCTAACCGATCACAAAGGGGGCGCTGCCAGCGACGGGAAGCACCGCCACCACCTCTGCATCACGCCGGAGGACTGCTACGACGCCGGACTGCCCTACGACCTCTACACCGACCCCGAACGACACCACTACTGCACCGCCACCGGGTTATCGCCAAGCACTGCGATGGCGAGCCCATCTTCATCCAAGGCGGCCGATGGTTTGTACCCCTTCACCTCTCTCTCTCTCTCTCTCATTCTATTTCTAATCCAGTAGTAGTAGATATCCTAGGACTCACGGTTTATTCAAAGTGTAAGTAGACATGCTAGATTTATGCATAGAGATTCTGTTTTAGTTTAACACTATGATACTGTAGCGCGAAGTCGGAGCCTGAAGGAGCCCATCCAAATGGGCGGTCCTTTGTTTGTTAGGGAGTCATGTATATCCTAATAAAATGGTTGAAGCTTTGGGTCCTTGGGTGACTCTCCAAGTTCAATTTTATTCTCCATCTAAAATAACTCATTATAGTTTGTATTTTTCAATATATTTCATGATGAGTCTAATAATAATTACATATGTTTATAAGAAAATACAAATATAAGTATCGTCATACCCATCATGAAATATATTTTTAAAGTATATCTAATTGTTGTCATAAATATTAATTATTTTCTATATAAATTTGAGCAAATTTAAAATGATTTGGCTTGGACAAAACCGTTGCTTCCTTTGATGGCCCCTTTTCTTAGCGGAGTGAGCATCCACATTTTCACGTCTCAACCTTAGCTGTTCGATGCTGCTTTTCTGTTTACCTTGGGCGGCCTCACTTCTTGTCAAGGTCTGACCAGATGATGATCAATCGCGCCATTGCATTGATAGCCGGGAAGGGCAGCGGGCAACGGCTCTTGCTGGTTGGTCACGCTCACGGAGGCGGCTACACTCTACAGGGCTCAAATGGGACGATACCGAAGGTGGTTTGAGGGAGAGGCGGCGTGGCGGCCGTCGCTTCAAGCAAACGAAGAGCCCTGCATTTGGCTGCTGCCTATGCCTAGTGGTGCTTGAGACTGCCGGCGTGTCACGAGACGAGAGCGACGGATCAGAAACAGGGGGAACGAAACGAACCAACCAGCCCACCCGGGTACTGCGCGGAAACATCGCCACGGAGGGTACGGATCCTACTAGCAGAGTAGCAGCTAAGATGATATATTTTATGTAGTTTCAACGCATGATATTTTTTAAACCGTAGGATGAAGATACAACGGTCTTCAGCCTTCTTCTACCTCCAAACACACTGCACAACTCGCCTCCGCTGCCGTCGGCCACCCAGCCCTTGGCCGCAGCTATGTCGGCACAAATCACGAGTAACAAAGATCCACGACTGTATCGGTACAAATCACAAATCACAAATTATAAGAAACATTTTTTTTCTATGAAAGGACAAGGACAAAAATTTGGTGGCAGCGCCGGAGTTGGAAAAGGAGCTCGTCGGAGTTGGGAAGATACTGGGCGCGGGCGCTGCGGCGGCGCGGGCACGTGGCGGGGGCATGGCGGCGGTGGCCCCAGTCCGACAGCCTGGGGTTCCCAGTTCCCGACGGCGGGCCACGGGTAGCCGCGCTTTTTCGATGGCAGCGTGGGGATGCGACGCCTACAAAAAAATCGTGTGCCAGCTCTTGATAAAACACCCGTGTGGTGTTTAGCATTTCCGTATAGGAGTCATTCTCATGATCCTCTTAAGAAAAGATAGCTCTCATGCTCCCATGCATCACACAACCGGAAGGCTGAATGCTGATGATGTCTTCTGAAAAGATACTGTGTACACCTAGCCAGCATGTCCATCATACAGATAACCAGGCACACACAAACACAACTGAGATGCTCTGCCATGCAAATATATTCATCACCAATTCTAAACTTGGGCCAAAAGTATATTATATTACAACCAAATGGTATATTGCATACTCTCATCTAATGGGAGCAGTATATATATATTACAGTGCCTCATGTCTGAAAATATGCAACAAATCGGGTGCATAGCAAGTATACTTGTTTGGATTGTGTTATTTTGACCATAGATATACTATCTCATAGTTAGCGTGGCAAACTTATTGAGGATGCAAATTCTTTCTCTAGGCTGTAGCCGCGAGAGGTCTCTTGATCACAAGGCAAACGGGTAGCATTCCCAAGATCGAGCTGTGCATGGGAGTTTCTAGCATGTGACTGGCACAGCAAATGCTCAGGCTCACCATTATTTCCTGTTGACTGGTATGTTTTTCTTAGCCTCCCTGTCCTTAGGAGCTGCAATTTCATCTCTCCTTCTTTCATAGTTGGTCTCTCTACTCCTTTGGTCCGCAAGCATGCTTGTGCGAGTAAGGTGATATCATCAATTTCTGCTTGGTCTGCCTCTTCCACAATCTGTTGATCTATTATTTCCATAAGGGCTCCTTCTTGAAGTGCTTCAATGAAGTAACGAGCCAAGCTTTCTTTCACACCAGAATCATTATTAAAAACTGGTTTCTTTCTTGTCAGGAGCTCCACAATAATCACACCAAAACTATATACGTCACTCTTCTTAGTTAGTAGACCAGTATTGTAATATTCTAGATCTAGGTAACCGAATGTGCTTTGGACAATTGTCAGCACATGAGTCTCGTCGATTGAAACAGATCTTGAAGCACCAAAATCAGAAACCTTTATAGTGAAGGTGGCATCCAAGAGTATATTGGATGACTCATCTCTATGAAAAATTGGAATTGCAGCAGCTGAGTGTAGATAAGCAAGCGCCCCTGATGATTCTACTGCAATCCTAGTGCGATCATCCCATGATAGCAAACATTTACCATCATCATTAGTGTGAAGAAGGTTGTATAATGTGCCACTAGATATGAACTCATATACGAGCAAGGGCACCTCAGTTTCCAAGCAACAACCAAAAAATTTCACCACATTCCGGTGGATGATTTGAGACAATATTGCAACCTCGTTGATAAATTGATCTATCTCGGTTTGCTCCACAATTTTGGACCCTTTAATGGCTACCACATTTTGATCAGATAGAATGGCCCTGTTCTGTTGGTGGTATTTCGGCTGATTTCGACTGATTCAATAGTGTTTCTGTGAGGGAGAATAAGCCGAAATAAGCACAAGCCAACTGAAAAGTAGATGAGCAGAATAGGGTAATACCTTTATAGACAGTTCCATGTCCTCCACGGCCAAGGACACGAGTAGCATCAAAATAGTTGGTGGCGCTCTCTAGTTCCTCTAAGGAGAATATCTTTGTTTTGTTTGTGGTGCTCTCATCATATACTAGTTGCTCCAACAACAGACCTTGATTTTTCTTGAAGTATGCTCTTCGGATTCTCTTCTGCATGCCTTGCTTCCATTTTCTAGCTATTAAAATGGCGCATAACACAAAAATTATGGAGCCAAGACCACATCCAATTCCAATTGTAACACCTACATACAAGATTGTGTTGCACATCCAATGTGCCATGAATTCCACAAGATCATTCTACATTTTACCAACAAGATTATTGCATTTTTATAAATGAGATGTGGATATGTGGGGTATGACTCACCTAAAATAAGACTGTGTTGCTTAGCTGTTGTGACATAGTTCCTTTCTGTTGGTTCAAACACTGCCATGAGGGCAAGTTGTGCAATAATATCCTCCAATAGTATTATGACATACTCCATTGCAATCATTTGGCTCTAAACACTCATTAATGTCTGCAAATAAACTGGAATCAAGTGAGCCATCATCAAGTTCTTTAAAATGTTGAAGCTTGTAAGGTTCATTTGGTTTTACAGTATGTCATGAAATTCTCATGAAGCTCAAGTGTTCCAAAATATTCCTTTTTCACACACGCACACAAACACACACACACACACACACACGAGAGAGAGAGAGAGAGAGACCTGTACAACCATCTGTGCCTTTGACATATGGATTCCCATCAAAGCCTTGCGAGCACTCGCAACGATACCCTAGGTATAGCGTCCCATGGGTGACATTAACGCATTCGCTGTGGGGGCTGACACACACATAAGTTCTATTCCTTTGCGAGGCTGTTGCACAGGTTAAGTTGGAAACAGACCACCTCATCTTGATATCAAATTCTTGGGTGAATTCAATAAAACTCCTCATGTATTCTCTTGATATACTGTAATCAAAGTCTCCATTGGAGGTATGGACTACCACCACCTAGTCATCGCTGCTGCTTGAATCATTAAGAATGCTGGTTACACCCAGGTATCGATCATTCACTAACAATTTGGTCACCATAAATCGCAGATTTTTTATTTTTTAGCCCTTTTTTTGAAAAAAAAATCACAAATATGCCTCTGGAGGTATGATTTCAAAATCTGGACCCTTAGCTCAGCGCCATCGTTGGTGACGTCGAGCTTATATGTCTCGGCCCCATAGATTCTGGCGCCTAGATCGGGGCCACATTGGCGGCGTGGACGCTGACATGGCAGCCAGCTCGGCGCCGTGAATCTTGGCGCGAAGCTCGGTGCCGTGGATCTTGGCGCCGTGATTATTGGCGCCGAGCTTGGCGCTGAGACCCACGGCGCCGAGCTTGTGTTTTAACCCGGCGCCCTACCTTCCTGCTCGAGCCTTCTTCCTCATATTTCTCCTCCTTCTCAGGTTTTTTCTCTCCCCACTTCGCCCTACCTCACGAATCGGCATATTGGACCTTGGAAACTTTGATTTGATCGGTAGATCTTCGAGAGCAAGGTATCCTCGCTCCCTTCTAGTTTTTTTTCAAATCGATTCAATATATATTAGTCGGATTTTTCAACTTAAGAATCGTCATTACTTAGGGTTTCATGCAATTTTAATATTTATATTATACAACCGTAGGATGCCAAGGCGTGGAAAAGCTACCAAACCAAGGTAACCTCAGCACACATTGTTATGTTATGTGTTCATTGTTGTGGATCAAATGGGAAACCCTAGGTGTAGGGTTTAATGTTAATTGCTTTCGGTTCTTAGAACGAAAATGGCTAAATTGTAGTTATGACCGGATGACCGGAAATGCCTTCGACCCATTGCCTCTGCATAGTGGTGTTCCAGTGCCCATGTGCTTTTGCGGTGATCCTTGCAAGGTAGCCAAGTCCGATGAAGATGACACGTATAGGCAGAGGTATTGGATGTGTTCCAATTTTACGTTTGAGCCTACACTTCGTCAGCGCCGCATTAACAAGATGGTGATGAATTGATGTTGTGTAATAATTATTTTGTGTCATATGACATCTTGCATAATTTTTTTGTTTTGTAACAATTGCATTTGTTGCAGACCCCTCCACCGCTCTGTGATTTTGAGTAGTGTATCGACACTGAGATTAAGGTTGAAGACAAGGAATGGATGCAGAAACTGTTGCGGTGGGAGGCAGAGGACAAGGAGATGATGGAGAAGAGACGCGGAGAGGAGGCTGCAAAAAAGGAGCACAAGGAAGAGGATGAAAGGAGACGTGTTGCTGCGTATAGGAAGGAGAGGGAGAAGAAGCTTGAGCGTGCACGTCGAGCAAAAGCAACGATGGAGGAGAATCCCGATGCTCTGAGGAAGGGAAAGTGGCCTCGTTGCACTCAGTAGTCTTCATTACTTGCTAGTTCTATGGTTTATTCATGAACAATGTTGTCTACTGTTGGACTTTTAATTGTATTGTCATGTAATGCTCTTTAAGTATGGGTATGCTTAGGTCATGTACTGCGTTATTTAGTTTGTCGGCATGTACTTCTAGTATTATTGTGTTGTTTAATGTGTCATAGTATTGGATTTTTCGTTATGTAGTTGTTTTCATTATTTGTGATCATAATATTTAGTTTAATATTGCGAACGTAGTGAAATGTGATCACGTGCTGCAAACAAAACCTAACAAAGTAGGGCATTATATAATTCAACACACACAACACATGAAATGGCATGTAAGAACATGTACCGAACTAGGGTATAGATTGTGATGGACATTGAAAAATGAGGACACTACTAATCTAGTACGGAGTACTAATTAATTCCTGACCTGTTCCTCAACTCCATCTGTTGTACTGAATTGTCTTCAAAACACCTAGCTGATTGACATCTACTGCTAGTAGTAGGTCTATTCAATTTTTATTTTTTGCATCCAGACCAATGATAAGGAAACCTAGCTAAATGATTGGTTTATGAACAGAACGGATTCTCTAAAGAATGGAAGAAATCAAACTCCATCCAGTCCTCTTCTGAAGGCATGATTATGTTGCATGATTAAATTAATTATAAGGATGCTATGACTCAAATGTGCACCAATGATAAGGAAACCTAGCTAAATGATTGGTATGCAACTTAACATAGAAAAATAAGGTAATTGACTTACCACTCTGTCTAAGATTGGTCCTGCCTCCACCTGCCTTTCTACACGAGTAGTTTGGTCGTACATCGTGTCTTCATCGTCGGAGGACTCGATGTCGGCGTAGTCATCTTCTGTCCATTGTAGCCTCAGCCTGCAACGTGTCGCACGTTGTTACCAAGCTTGGTAGCGCCTGTACTCACAGTTCGTGTGTGGCTCGTTGTTCTCGTCCACGTTGTCATGCAACAGCTCTCATTGTTCAAGGTAGTACTGGTGGTGCTTCTCCCAATCAAAAATCTTTCTGTTCTTCTGACGATCCAACTTGCACGTCACGTACGATGTTAGTTTCTCAATCCATGTACATGTCACCATATTAAAAGTGCACTTATATCATCATTACTTCATCTTATATAGGAATTAATGGAAATGGACCATCACAAGACAATTGAAATAGCAAAACACTTACTTGTGTAAGTCAACGCCAGTCGAGAACGGAGCCGTTGGCCAAAGCTGTCTCACTCCAAATTGGCGTGCAACTCTATTTGGTAGGTGGAACTCAACAGCATAGAAATAGATTAGAGGGCACCTCATCCTGTAGAAGTCGTCGTCGCACCCACACATGTTGCTCAACTGAAAAGGAAGTCCCCCCTCTCCATCGTACGACTCCCACGACACCTACAACATGTCCAAACAAGATGTTAGATGCTATACTAAACCATTTCACACACATATGAATGCAAGACCTTATAAGGTCTCTTTCGTATCACTGCAAATGCCTGCAACCACCTCTTCAATGTAGCGAGGTCCTTGAATACCCTATCCTTCTCAATTACCATGTTAGGGCCGGCCTCAGGAGCTTCTAGGAGCTCATCATCACGTCCTTCTGCACACGCCTGATCGGAATGAGCAAGATCACTGAACTCGTGAACTCTTGCATCATGGCGACCGAGAAAGATACGCCTCAGCATCTCAACATCACTCTCTGTCAGCTCTCCCATAGGGCGATCGTCATCAGAATCAAGAGCCCTTGCCATCTCATATGGCTCCGAATCATTCATAATTTCAACACTATTGGAGCCACGGAATCCATCTCCACAGTGCACTTGCGCAACAACAGGGGGCACATCCACATTGTCAGGAATGTCTCCTGCAACATAAGTAGAGAAATGAGGAAAGAATGAAAAAAATGGATGTAAGGAAGGGGGTAAGCTCCCAATAACCATGCGGATAAGACACTTACTCGAATGATTCGATGTCAAAGGGATCTCATGAGGAGGATCTTCCACAACATCATGAGTCTGACAAGCATCTCCAACTAGCTCATTGTGGGCAGATTGAGCATCGGGAACTGTAGGTGCAACCTCTACATCCATATTAGGTTCCGGGACGGGAGGATCGAAGTATGCCTGCTGACTCATTGGTGGGGAAAACCCATGAGGGATGGGATCAACTAACACCCGATGCACAACCACGTCCAAACATTGCAGCTGGCTCTTCATAGCCGATCTCACATAGTTCTCCCACTGATCCGCACACCCAATTGAGATCATTCGCCTAAGGATATTGGGAGAAGAACCTAGGTGCAATACACCCTCAACTGCAATGCCATCATCATCATCTCCAAGGCAATGCAGGTCCTCCCGAGCCCTTGCAACCATCTCACTAAATGAAGGCCTATCATTGAATAGCACAGGCACGCTTTGCATGTCAACAAACTCAACATATCCATAGCGATCGCTTTCAATGGTGCCTCCATGATATATGGTCACTAGGTTGTCCATCTAGTTCAAACACATAACGAAACACATGTCCTTTAGTCCAAATTAGACGATAGATAGTACCTAACAAGTATTTTCTAACTACAAACTAAGTAAATAAGATAATAACTACGTATATATATACAGTGTACTCACTAAATAGCTAGATCCTATTTAGTTAACTAAATATATAACTACCTATCTAAGTAGCTATCTAACTATATCTATGTATCTATGTATCTATGTTTCTATCTATCTACATATCTATCTCACTGGATCACTAACTAAATCAACTACCTGAGTCATCACATTAACTATTAAATAACAAATAATTGAACTACTACACTACAATCAAAGCTAACTAAATACCTACATTGCATATTCACAATTTTTACCTGTCCGACGAGTTTAAGAGCTTGAGCAGGCGATGTTGTAGGCAAACAGCCCTATCCAAGGTGTTCGGGCATGGCGGCTGTTGTGGCCTTCTAGGTGGACAACACCCCCTCCCCTTGGCCCTTGCCAAAGGCCACCACCCTCGGCCCTACGACGGCCGGCGGCAGGAATGCGGACGGGGTTGCGGACATCGACGAAGTCGCAGCGGACGCCGGG